GTCGAGGAAAAGATGCGAGGTCGAGGACGGCGAGGACGAGGGGAAGGGCGTGTGGGCTCGCTATGAAACCGCAGTGTAGGTGGTGCAACTTGTAGCCCGACACTGGGCGATTAAACTGCCCTTGGTGGCTCTGCTTCTGCAGGAAAAGACCCCAGGTTGGACGAGTGCCCTCTCCTCGTGGGTTTGGGCCCTCGCTTGGAAGCAGCCTGAGGTGTGTTGTGACTGTGGGTGTTGGACAGGTCAGCTTGGCGTGCTCTGCAGCTGTCCACAGGCGGTTTGACGCACGAAGTGTGATTTCTGAGGAGGAAAGAGACGACGCTGGCTCGCTCGCCGAGTCGCGCGCAGAGGTGCGATACTGTGACACGTTTGCAGTGCGAAACAAAGCGAAACCTGCAGACAGGGTGAACCTCGTCGCTCGAGAGTGAAGGAGTCACTTCTCTCCCTCGTCCCGCGCGGTCACTCTCGCTCGACGATCTCCTGATTGGGCAGACAGGCTTCTGTTGACTCTGCAGAGCTCTGTGAGCACCGACTCAACAGCTCGCCGCTTGTCCTTCCTCGCTTCTCCCGCTGGCACTTCTTATCCTCCTCTTCCGTCTCCCCCTCCGGTTGGACCGACCCTTTGCGCCGACATGACTGCTCATCGTATCGTCGTGCACTCGACGTCGCTCGACCTGCTTCGCGCGATCGCCGCCGTCCCAGGCGCCGACGCGAGCAACACCAACCTCTTGCTCGGCTGCGTTGTGGACGACGCGCAGGACGATTCGCGGTCAGCTCATGCGGAGGAGGACGAGGGCGACGCGAACGAGAGACCGGACCAGCACACGAAGCTGCTTGTGTCGGTCTGGGAGGGAAACGAGTTGCGGTTCGTCTTCAACAGACTCTCCTTCCTGCCTGTCCCCGCTCGTGCCGACTGTCTGTGACGCAGCCTCCTGTTCACCAAACTTGACTGGAGCATCTGCAAGCTCGTCTCGCCCGTCCCGCCCTCACAAATCCCGACTCTCGCCCTTCCTCTCGTCCCCCTCCTCGTCCAACACCTCCTCACTCTCGCGCCTTTCTCCACCAACCCTTCCCTGCTCCGAAGCATCACCGGTCCGATCGTCCTCATCGACGAATTCTTGTCCCGCTGGCCTCATCCTGCGAAACCCGCGACGGCTCCTCCCTTGATCCCTTGCTCGACTCGCTCCGCCCCTCCGCCCATTTCCTTCCCTCCCTCACACACTTTCCAACGCGTAGACGTCCACTCCATGCCTCAAGGCGACCTCGCCGCGCTCGCCAACCTCCTCAGCGATTTCTACGGCAACCACCCCGACTCGCCTCGACTCGAGGAAGCAGCCGCCATCTCACATGTGAAGGCAAAGCAGCGCCACAATACCTTCTGGCTCTACCGCGCTCCATCAGTCGGTGCGGATGACCTGGCAGCAGCGGTCGCGCCAGTCGCGTTTCTCGCGACGGGTCGAGCGACGCCTCGCACGGTCGCCATTCGGATGGTCTACGTTGCCCCCTCGCACCGCGGACAATCAATAGCCCAGCGTATGGTCTCGCACGTTACGCGCTCTCACCTGCTCACCGCGGATCCCCTCCCGCTCAACTTGGACAACCTCCCGCCGGTAGAAATCGAGGATGGGGAGACGCGCTGGGGGAGGAAGGTCGAGGTGTGTCTTTTTGCGGAGCCGGAGAATGCGGCGGCGAGGAGGGCGTATGGGAAGGTTGGCTTCAGGGAGGAGGAGGAGCGCTGGTGTACCAGGAATCTCGAGGGCGTAGAGGCGGGGCATTGGTAGCAGCAGACGATTGACAGGCCTTTTTAGACTCGTGTGCGCGGTACTTTTCCGCTCTCCCATCTGGCGAATGGCCGCAAGATACAGGGTCAAGTTGCGAAGGTCCACGTTCGCAAGCCAAAATGGTGAGGAGTAGGACATGTAGGGAAGCCGAGAACGCATGGAGGGAAGTGAGTGTTGACAATGGCTTGAGTAGAGGAGAAGGGTATGCACGTGTGAGAAGAGGAGGAAGAAGGGGTCCCGAAGAAAGAGCGTCCATATCTATCCGCCGACGTCCTGCCGTCTTTCGTCTACGACCTAAACTGGTTCATCCTGTACACCCCAGGCGAGCCCTTCTCGACGACGTCGTAAGGCCTCTGCAAGTACGCATGCGCGCCATCAGAGCTCGAGCTGCTGACTGCGGCGAGCGAGTGCGACCTCGCGCCGTCGATGAAGCGCGCGGGGTAGAAGTAGCAGTAGAGCGACATGGCGAGCCAGAGGGGGAGGGCGTCGAGGAGGTAGAAGTAGCTGTGGCGAAGCGAGAAGATCAGCTCGGATGGGCGTGAAGCGAGAGGAGCGGGAAGGCTCACCTTTCGTGCGTCGCGAGGTACCCGTAGTACCCTTCAGCGTACTCGACGATGCGGAAAGCCGAACGGACGATGATGCCGACGCTGCGAGACGAGAGTCAGCCTCTGTGATGGAAGCAGACGCTGGAAACGCACCAAGTCAAGCACATGACCCAGAAAAGCGGGCGCCAGTCCTCAACGGGCTCCTTCGAAAAGACGCTGTAGGCGCTGAAACGGAAGCGAGGGATTGGGCGAGGGAGGCGCTTCCGAACGCGCAAGCCCCAGACGAGGAGGAGGAGGGTGAAGATGCCGAACGAGACGAGCTGAAGGATGAGGCCGACGAGTGCGATCTGGAGAGTGTCTTCATGTTAACGAATCGTGCAGGAGCCCGGCAAAGGCGGGGCGCACCTTGGGTCCCAATTTGCGCATACCGTCGCTGTCGCCGGCCGACATGCCTCCTCCCGACGCTTGGAGGAAGAACGTAATGACGTCCGACGTGATGAAGAGCTTGCTGATGCGTGTCGGGCGGATGAAGAGGGCCTCAGTCGCCTCGTCGCCCAGCGCTCGCGCGAGTCGTCCGAGGAGCTGGTAGTCCATGGCGAGGAAGGCGCAGGGCTGTCGAGGAAAGGTTCGGTCAGCCTCAAGGTTCGTCGAGGTGAAAGACAAGACTTACCGAGAGTAGAATGAACATCGTCTGCAAGATGTACATGCCCAACGTCGAGGGATTGCTGTGGTAAAGGATCCGGAAGACGAAGCCTAGCGTCATGCACAACATCCCAATGGCAAGCGTGAGCATGTAACGCGCGTGTGTCGATCTGAAGAAGTGGGTCCATAGAACGGCGGTTGACAGGCCGAAGAAGGCGAGGCCGACTACGCTGAGAGGGACCGAGGGGAGGTAGCCGGCGATGATGCGCTCGCCGTCGGCGGTGACGGCCGTGTTGACGGTACCATCGGCGAGGGCGCAACCGGCGAGGGCAACCATCGCGGTTAAGCGGAGGAGGGTGGCTCGAAGATGAGGCATCTGGAAGTGCGGAGGTGAAGTGAACTATCGTTGAGGCGGGGGTGATTCGCCGGTGTTGCGCGAGAAGATCAGGAGGAGGCACGCGTGAGGAGACAAGGAGCAAGCAGGAGAGCGAGGGATCTTGAGATTTTCGTTAGTCTTCGGAAGTAGCGAGGGCTGAACCAGCGAGGTGCGTGAGGCGCGAGGTGCGAGGTCACCGCCACGCCAGGCGTTACGGGCGCCAAGACCGGAGTCGGTGCAATGCTACGGTCCTCATCCGGCCGGCGGCAGCGCACCGGCGCTGGGCCGCAGTACGAGAGAGGAAGGAAAGGTGAGAAGCGGAGGGGGAGAAGGTCGCCTCCGACGCCCAATGCTCAAGCGGGTCACCGCACGGCATTATGACCAGCCTCCATCATACCAGCCGTCCAAACGCCTGCCAGGAGGCGAGAGCGTGAAGTAAGCGGACGAAAGGAAGGTTCGCCTTCCTCACTTCGCACCGTTCGACTGGCTGAGCTGGGAATGGCTGTGGACAGACTCGCTGCTGCGCCTCCGAGCGCCGGACCATGGTCCAAGGTCAATCCGCCGCTCACTCCCTGGGTGTGCGTCCTGTTCGCCTGCATCGCCTCTTCGAAAGTTCGCTGATGGAGTGGTCGCGCGCGCAGGGCGGACGTGGTTAGGGACATGGGCTTCGAGCAGATGTATCCGGTCCAGGCGAGCACGATCCCGCTCTTCATGCAGCACAAGGACGTCGTTGTGGAGGTGAGCGAGCTCGAGCTACTCTCTCAGACTGATGAGGCGAAGCTGACCCATTTACATCGTGCAGGCTGTTACTGGTTCCGGCAAGACTCTCGCGTTCGTCATCCCCGTGCTGGAGAAGCTGCTCAGGCGAGGTAAACCGCTGGGGAAGCGGGAAATCGGGGCTATCGTGATTGCGCCGACTCGGTGGGTCCTTCAAGTCGTTCTCACGAGCCAGATGAGCTGACAAACTCGTCATTACAGCGAACTCACCATCCAGATTCACTCCGTCTTCAGCCACTTCATCGCCGCTCAGCCTCAGCCTTCCTCCGAACCCTCGACATCGACGTCTCCTCCTTCGACTCCGCCTCTCGCTCCAGCCCTCCTTCTGATCGGCGGCAACTCGCTCCAAGATGACAAGAAGCAGTTTTTCGAGACGGGCGCGGACATCCTGGTTGGAACGCCTGGACGGCTCGAGGAGTTCTTGCTGGGGAGCAGCAGTGTCGCGATGAGCAAGAAGGGGAACAGCGCTTCGGGACGGCGAGGATCGGGAAACGGCGTTGGAGACACCAAATCTCTCGAGGTGCTCGTGATGGACGAGGCGGACCGGTAAGTCCAGCTCGGCAGTCGTTTCTTCCTTCGCCGCTCACAATGCCGTTCACAGATTGCTCGACCTCGGCTTCACTCCAACTCTGACCCGCCTTCTCGACCACTTTCCGAAGCAACGGCGGACAGGACTCTTCTCGGCCACCATGTCGGACGCGCTCGGGCAGCTTGTTCGTGTCGGCTTGCGGAATCCGGTTCGAGTGGTTGTCAAGGTCGAGTCGAAGGTTGGCAAGGGCAAGGCGGAGGGTCAGGACGGGCGGAACATTCCTACACTGTGCGTTGCGACGTCCTGGTCTGACCAGCTCTCGCTGACGCTTGCTGCACAGGCTGCAAAACGGCTATGTCGTCTGCTCGCCCTCCGAGCGGATCGCCATGCTCTTCCGCATCCTCCGACAAGAAGCCTTTCCCTCCTCCGACTCTGACGATGCATCCGGCGCCCGCAAGTTCATCGTCTACTTCTCCACCTGCGCCGCGGTCGACTACTTCTTCAAAGCGCTCTCGGCGCTCCCTTCCCTCTCCGAATCCGGCTTCTCCCTCCACTCACTGCACGGCCAGCAATCTCCCACTCGTCGCTCATCAACCTACACAGCCTTCACCGCCCTCCCACCTACCACTCCCGGCGTCCTCCTCTGCACAGACGTCGCAGCGCGCGGACTCGACCTCCCCGACGTGGATGTCGTCGTACAGGTTGATCCGCCTGTTGATCCGCGGGCGTTTGGGCATAGGGTTGGGCGGACCGCCAGGGCGGGGAGGAGCGGGAAGGCGGTGGTGTTGCTCAACAAGGGGCGGGAGGAGGGATATGTCGGTGCGCTGCGCTTACTCTCTCTTTCTTCTCCGCCTCGTTATTGATGACGCGGTCGCAGACTTCCTCAACATTCGCAAGATCCCGCTACAGCGATTCGAGTACCCTTCGCAGGGCGACTCGACGCTCGAGCAGGAGGCAGCGGCGGTGCGGGACGAGATGCGCCAGGTGATCCTGAAAGACCGGGACTTGCACGACCGTGTGCGTCTACTCCTCCTCTCTATCCCCGCACAGCTAACGAGTCGTCATCGCGCAGGGCATCAAAGCTTTCGTCTCGTCCATCCGCTCCTACTCGAAACACGAAGCCTCGTACCTCTTCCGGCTGCAAGACCTCGACCTCGTTGGACTCGCGCAATCGTTTGCGCTCTTGCGCATGCCGAAGGTGGCGGAGTTGAAGGGCAAGGAGAAGGAGATTAGGGAGAGGTGGGAGGATGTCGAGGTCGATGTGCGTCGATGTGTCTCCCCTTCGCAGCGAGGCCTGGATCTGACGATGCTTGGACAACCGCAGTGGGACTCCTATGCGTACGCGGACAAGGTGCGGGAGAAGCAGCGCAAGGCGGAGCTCAAGGTGCAGCAGGAGAAGCGTCTCGAGCAGGAATCGCGCAAGCGTGCGTTGGCCGAGTCGAACGCCGCTTCCGCCGTCGACGGTGAGTGCGACGAACCTGAAGCGAAGCGGCACAAGAAGGGCGAGAACAAGGACAAGAACCGCGCGTGGAGTGCGAAGGAGGATGCGGAGGCGAAGAAGGCTGCGAGGCGGGCGAAGAGGGTCGCAAAGGCCAAGGCGAAGTATGCGGCGCAGGCGGCGCAGCGGTATGCGGCTGTCGAGGGCGATGGAGCGGCGGGCGACGGGGGCGAGAGCGAGGCGGAGGACTGGAAGGAGGAGCTCGCGCGGGCCAAGAGGGAGAAGAAGATGGCTGCTGCGCGGGGTGGCAAGAGCGAGAAGGGCGTCGCGCAGGCTGGCAGCGGTGGACTGGCGGGTGTAGCGTTTGAGGGGTTGGATTGAGGCCTTCGAGGAAATGACAACGCCTCGTTCGCCGTCCTCGCTTGCTCGGTCCGGCCTCCTTTGACGCCTTCTGCTCGCATTCGACGTTGCGCACCGTGTGCAGTATGCGCGACCCATCAGCGCGCAAGTAGCGAAGTGCGAAGCGTCTCTCGGTCGAGGAGGAGGAACGGCGCCGGCTTGCGCGTCTCGCGATGGCACGGCCCGATGCGAGCTGCCTCGCTGTGTATGCTCAATTGCGCTGCCTTGCCACGAGCGCCCTCGTTGGTGGAGTTGCCTGATGCGGTCGTCGCTGGTCGAGCCTTTCTCCTCGCTCGCCTCTCGCCTTCGTCCTGCTCTCGCTCACTCTCCAGCGCTCCCTGCCGCACGCTTTGCTCTCCATCGCCCAAGTCCAACTCTAGCAGTCACTCCTTTGACCCCCTCACCCACCCGCGAACGAACGAGCCAGCCTCGTCCCCTCCTCGCCCCTACCGCCCTCGAGTGCTCCGAAAAGTCGCCCACACCTCACACACCGCACCAGCCAGCCCAGACACCACACTAGCCATGCCTCGCACTGGCTTCGACCTCCGTCCAGTGTGCGTCCACCTGCTCGGTGCCGTTGTCGCCGCCCGGAATGCATCGCCGGCTGGGACTCTTTGTCTTGTCTTGGAGATGAGATCGCTGACGCGGAATGGACGCACACACACACAGGCTCTCGCACCCGGGCTTCATGCTCACGCTGCTCGTCGCGACCGCCGGCTTCTTTGCCGCCTTCATCGGACGTGAGTCCCGCCTTTCGCGCTCGGCGACCCTATCTCGCCTCGCCGGCACTGACTTGCGCGTTCGTTCCGCCCCGCAGAGATCGTGCTAGAGTCAAAGTGTGCGTGGGAATTCGCGGACAGGGAACCGAGTGCCTGTAGGCGATGTCGGAACTGACGCCGGAGGAGGCTTGCTCGTCTACAGACCAGTCGTCTGATGGAAAGGGATCTGCTGTCGGAGTGCCTTGGTTCGGTGCGTTCTCGTTACATCCTGTTACGGCATGCGTGCGCGCGGCGGCGGCAGAACAAGCGAGCTAACGGCTATTCTGTTCACTCCTCCGCTCTTCGTGTTGGTCCTGCGCTCCCGCTCCACAGGCATCTTCCTCCAGCTCTTCCTCAACATTGGCGTCTTCGTGACGCTTGCGACCGACAATGTCGGCGCGAACCGCTTCCAGGTGCGTCCTTCCGTCTCTCCCAGCCTCCGCACTCGCGCTCATGTGTCGCTTCGTTCGCATCGCAGCTCTCGATCTTCCTCGCTGTCGCTCTCGTCATGGCTGTCATCGGTGTCAAGCGAGTCCCGCTCGGACGTTCCAAACGATTCGAGGACGAGGCTGACTTCTTGTTGCGCAGCCTTGGCATCTTCCAGGACTCGTCCTACCAGCTCGCCATTGGCGCCGGCTGGCTGCTCGTCGCCATGGTCGATGTGAGTGCTCACCACCTCCCCCGCCTCGCTGCCGAAGCTCACCAATTGCTGCGCGCAGATCCTCTGGATCCTCTACTTCACCTCCTCGGACGACGCCTGGTTCGCCTCCTTCTTCGACATCGGTTCCTCCATGCACTTCTCCTCCCGCTCCTCCTCCTCCAACTTCCCCTCGCACCGTCGCGGCCCGTCCTCCCGCGCCGGCGGCTCGACGCTAGGCATGTCCGGCCCCGCCGGAGGAGTCTCGTACCAATCGTACCAGGGCATCTCGAAGGGTGGTGCGGCGAGCGTTGCGGGAACGCAGGGGCCGGCGAGCGTCAGCGTGCATGATCTGCAGGTCGAGGGCAACAGTCCGGCTGGGACCGCGCCGAGCTTGATGGGTGAGGGTGCGCCAGAGTACCAGGCGCCGGTGCTCAAGGCTCGCGCGCTTTACTCTTGTACGTTCACACATTATCGCCTTCTCCAGATGCGCGGTGGAGCTGACTGGTCTCGCGCGTAGACTCGGCCTCCCCCGACGACCCCAACGAGATCTCGTTCGCCAAGGGCGAGATCCTCGACATCCTCGACAACTCGGGCAAGTGGTGGCAAGCGCGCAAAACGGACGGGACCAAGGGCATCGTCCCCTCCAACTACCTCTCGCTCCTCTAAGCGCCGCCTCTTCCACTAGTCTTTCTCCTTCCGACCCGCTTCGCTTCGCACGAGCAAAGCCTTAATCACCTTCCTTCTTTACCTCGGATCTACCGTCCCCTCTTCTCATCAAGATACCCCTCAGCCATCGTCATCGAATCAGTCTTGTATCCTTCCGTCCATCTGCTCTCTCCTCTCTTTTCTCTCTCTCTTCCTCTCGCGTCTTTCGTTGCACACGCCTACACATCGTTCTGGAGCGCCTGTGCTATTCCTCTCGCTCGCTCGCTGTGTGTAACACGCGTTCACTCGTTCACTTCTCTTCCGGCGTGCATCCCGCAACCTCGCCTCGCTATGCTACAAGACCTGCGCCTCTTCCTCATCCCGCACATCCTCTCGCTTCCTGCGACTCGCTCACTTCGCACGGGTTCCTCCGACCTTCCCTCCCCTTCCCGGCTCGGTACCTCCTCCAAGCCCTACATCGTAAACGGCACTCTCGACGCTTGAGCAACTTGGTGGCGGAGCGATGGGGAGCAGCGATAGGGGTGTTGTTGAAGCGAGGCGGAGGGGACGAAGCGACTTCGCTCCTCACGGCAGCAGGATGTGCCGATGGGGCGACCAAGAGTGAGAATATCCTGCGAGTTGCATAACGAGAGAGAGGGAGAACAACGTCTATTGCGGCATCGACTCGCGCATTTTGTCGACAAACTCCTGCCTGCGCGCGAACGAGACGGTCGGGTTGTGCAGGAGGGCCTCCATCGCCCGTGCCAATACCTCATCTTTGCCGTCCTTGTCCTTGCCCGGCGCCCGGACGAGGAACTGCGAGTAATCGCCCTGGAAGATCTTCTCCGCCGCCGCGCGCTCCTTCGGGTTCGACGAGAACGGCTTGAGCTTGACCTCCTTGCAGATCTGCTCGGCGATGCTGTTCCGGACGTAGGTGTTGGCGGCGACGAGAGCGTCGAGCTGGAGTTTGGGAGTGTCGACCGTCGCGGGCGGCTTGCGGGGCGTCAACTCCTCCTTCGTCCAGGGCGGCTTGTACTCCGAGACGACGCGCTCGAACCGGGGCTTGAAGGACTTCCTGGGCGGACGACGGACCGGCGCGTACGGGTTCGGCGCACCTCCAGGTCCTGCACCTGCTCCTTGTCCACCTCGACGAGGCCCGCCAAACCGCGCACCGCCTGGTCCGCCTGGTCCTCCTGGCCGAGGTCCACCGAACCGAGGCCCTCCTGGTCCACCTGCTCCTGGACCGCGCAACGCCGATTCCTTGATCCCTCGCGCGGCAGCGGCCTTGCGCTCCGCCAGCAAACGCTGCAACTCCTCGCGATGCATTCCCGGTGCTCGCGGCGCTTGCCCCGCTCCTGCTCCTGCTCCAGCACCTGGTCGTCGTTCTGCCGCACCAGCCGGCGGCCGCGACGTCCGCTCGAGAGCCTGCGCGATGAGCATATCGGTCGACCCGGCTGCCTCGGCGGCCTTCTTCAGCGAGATGGGGCGTGCGCGAATCCCGCCGATTGCGTCTGCGCGCCTGCCCCTGTCCGTGTCATCGCAGACAGCCCGCGAGGTCGAGAAAGCGCGGGCGAGGGAGCGAGCACCGCAACTTTGTGATGAAGTCGAGGCGAGCGCACGCGCGGCGGGGCGGACGAGCGACACTGCAGAGCGTAGCAGGGTCAGTTGCGGGTTCTTAGAAGCTGTTCTGAGCGCACTCACTGTCTGCGGGTGCGTCGAGACGTCGCCGTGAAGAGGAGACCCGCGAGACCCTCTCGCGACTTGGTCCTCAGCTTTCGATGCTCACAGCTGGCTCGGCAGAGTTCCGCTAATTGCTTGCCATGCTCTCCAATGAAGCTACAACAGCTCTCGCAAGCGCTCTGAGCTTCCCGCGCTATCGTGGCGCGCTTCTACGCCCCTTCGCTCGCTCGCAGACGGAGACGCTCGAGGAGCTTACTGCACTGGTCAGACTGGCTTGCTGTGCCCCACGAGCAAGCGATAACGCGCGTGGAAACGCAGTCCAGACGTCAGCGCGGACCCCGACCGTTGTCACGCTCGCTTGGGCCGCGCAAAGGAGGTCCCTCCTCTCCTCTCGCTCTCTCCGCTTCTTCTCCATCATCCCACCGCTTGAAGGGCTCTTGCGCTGCTTGTGTAGTCTGATTCGATGACCCTCGACCAGTCCCCCGACCCCGAACAGTCCGCCAGGCGCGGCAAGCATTCGAGCAAGACCAGCGCCTCTTCCGCGTCTCCGCCCAAGGTTGCCCACGCGAAGGGCAAGTCCAAGGCGACCGTGTGCGACCACTGCCGGTGCGTTCGTCCGTCTCCTTCGCCTACAGCCCGTCCCAGCTGACCCTCGTCCTCCTTCGCCTCGTTTCCCCGTCTCCGCCACTGCGACTCCTCTTTCCCCACCCTCTCTCCGCCCGGTCTCTCCTTCTGCCATGGTGTACGCCCACAGCTATCGCAAGATCAGCGTGAGTCGCCGGAGGACCTAGGGGCGATCGGCCGCTTGCTGACCACGCCTTCCCTCCGCCCGCAGTGCGACCTTCAGCTTCCTTGCTCCGGCTGTGCGTCACTCAGCTTTTTGTGCAAACGGCTGTCGAGTGCTAATCGTTCGTCGGCCCACAGGCGTCTTCCGCAAGCGTACTTGCACGTACGATGGAGTCGATCCCGAGACGCGTTCTGCGAAGCTCGAATCCATTGAGGCGGAGAAGACTGCGTACGTTTGCCTCTTCCTGTGACCGCTTGATAGTATTCTGACTCGCGACGATGCAACAGCCGCGAAGACGCCGTCCGTGCCGCAAAGGAGGAGATGGGCGGCTTGCTCGGCAAGGTCGAAGCGCTCGCCTTCCGCCTTCACCTCGATGCGGACCAGCTCAACGACCTGTACTTCAAGGCGATGCAGTTTGTTGACGAGGACAAGAAGAAGAACCCTGGACTCTACATCCCGGCTGGGCTGAACCGTTCGACCCTCCCCGCTCTTCCGACGGGCTTGCTGCCTGCGACAAAGGCGCCGGGCGCTCCCGACTCGCCCCCTCTGGCAGGCAGGACACGCGCGGCGACAGCGGCGAGGGCTGAGCCTGCCGCTCGTTCCAAGTCCCCTCCCACGCCCAGAGTCGCACTTCTCGTGGCCAACTCGCCTCTTGCGCCGAAGGTCGCGCCTCTCCCTATCCTCGCTTCCAGCCAACCCAAAGCTCGCCCGCCCGCCGCCGCTCGTCCTCCACCTCCTGCCCCGGACGTCCCTCGCAAGAAGCCTGCAACTGTTGTCGTTCCGGATCGCGACAGGCCTACAACCGTTGTCGTGCCTTCAAAGACGAACGGCAACGGCCAGCCGACCGTCATCCACATCCCCGCCTCCGCCTACGCCACCTACTCCCCTGACGAGCCCGTCAAGCGTCTCCCGCTCCACCGCCCTCTTCCGCGCCCTCCTCCGCCAATGACTACAATCGACTTCAGCCAAGGTCCGCCGCCTCTCCCGCCTATCGACCTCACCGGCAGGCCGCACGACAGCCTGCTCTTCCACTTCCCTGCGACTGCCATCCGCTCCGCCTCGTGGATGGGAGCGCCCAACAGCTTTCCCTCCGTCTTCAGGAAACCGCAGCAGGCGCGCTACCACCCCTACCGTCGTTCGAGCTCCGACTCGAGCTCCAGTATTGAGATTATCTCCCCTTGACGGCGCGGACAGCTTCTATACGTATCGCCTTTCGTAGTTATCGCCCTCTCCCGCTTTTCTTGTCGTCGATATACTCCTCTTGCGGTCATAGAGCTTCATGAGTCAATACATTCGTTGCTCAGAGTCGCAAGTGGTGCCCTGCTAGTATACAGCGCTGCAAGGGCGAGAGAGAGGGAGAGAGGAGAGAGACTCGAATAATCAACAAGGGTCGACAGAGCGCGACATGATAGAGACACCTCTGTCCCGTCCAACCGGTTCTATCGCACGCTCAACTTCCTCCGCAGCTTGTCCTGGCGCTTCGCATCCTCCTTCTCCTGCTTCAACCGCTCCTTCTCCGCCTTCGCGCGATCCTTCGCCTCCCGCTCGCGCGCCTTCTGCTCCTCCTTCAACCGCTTCTCGAGCTCCTTGCGCGTCAAAGTCGGCGCTGCAGGCGCAGGTGTCGACTGGCCGTTCGTCGGAGCGCCCGAATCGGAGGGTGACGAGTTCGCGGCGTCCTGCGCTCGCGAAGCCGGTGTATTGGACGACGATACGGCTGCCGAAGCTGTCGCAGGCCGCTTCGACGCAGCTGCGGACGTGTCGCCTCCTGCTGGCGCTGACGACAACCGAGTCTTCCCTGACGCCGTGCCGTCCGCCATTCCTGCTGGACCGAGTCCGAGCCCGATACCGTTCTGGAGAGGTGCGTGCGACGATGCGGGACGCTGCTTCTCGGTCCGGTTGCGAGAGAGGAAGCCAAGCGTCTTGCTGCCGAAGGAGGTGGAGGGTACGGGTGGTGTCGCGGATGCTGCCGCAGCTGGCAGCGGAGTGGGCGAAGGAAGAACGCCTGACGAAGAAAGCGACGCAGAGGTCGACGAGGCGGATGAGCCGGGTAGGTAGGTCGGACGAGTACCGTCTGGCGTGCCGAACGAGTTGCGCGAGTCGCGGCGACGGGCTATCCAGGCTGGCTGCGCGGGCGTGGCGGCTGCCGAGGCGTTCGCTACTCCTGAGTGTGCGGAAGCGCAGCCATCCTCACTGGCCGGAGCAGCAGGTACTGTGCTGCTACCGTTCACCTGCGGCGATGATTCGGCGGTATTGGCTGGCGGCGAGCCGCTCGACGACGAGTCCGTGGCGGCAAAGTCGACGGACGCGACCGCGCCAGACGGAACGGCGTTGTCGCCAGCACCTGCACCGTTCGAGGAGGGGATGGACGGAAGCGCAGTCGTTGCGCCGACGCTCGGCGTGCCTGCCGAAGACATCGACATCCGTCGCTCCTTGCCATTCACGCCGGACGCCTGCGACTTGCTCCGACTGAACTTGCCGCGAAGCGTCGACCATCCTCCTCCCTCCTTCTTCTCGGGAATCTCGGGCGTCCCAGCCGAGCTGCCGGAAAGCGAGGCGACGCTCGCCTTGCGTTGTTGAGGCGGAGGTGCGGGGTAGCCGTTCGAGAGGGCAGGCGCGATGGAGGTTGAGGGAGATTGCGATGCGGCAGGAGGCGAAGGGGAAGTAACGACGTCGGTGACGCCGATTGCACCCATTGGGTCGATGAGCGCAGGAGGAACTGCAGAAGGCGACGGGACGTTTGGGAGAGGGAGGGTGCCGTTTGGCGGAGAAGCGGTGTTGATCGATGCTGGCGGGAGAGGCGGGACGGGAGGGACGCCTTCATCGGTAGCAGATGCACCAGGACCGCCTGTCGAGATCGTGCTCGTCGTCTGAGCGCGATCCCGCGAGACGGCGGTCCCTGCAACCGAGGGAGTTCGCGGTATGGGCATATCGAGACCGGTCCAGTCGAGGTCAGTCGCCTGGTAGAAGAGAATGTAACCGCTTCCTTGGCCTGGCGTGTCGCCAAAGTACCGCGAGATGTCGTTCTGCTCGATCGGGTAGACATTGTTGTCGTCGAACACGATCCACCGCTTGCCCGACTTGACGATGGCGATGTAATGACCGTGATGAGGGCCGACACCAATGTGGACGACGATAGCCCACAGCTCGTACAGTCGGTCGGGGTTCGAGACGTTGTCGGCGGTGTTGAAGAGGCGGAGCTCGAAGGGGAAGACGACGCGGTAGGTGAGCTTGACGTGCCGCTGCAGCGACTCTTCGTACTTGAAGCGCTTCAAATGCAGCGCAAGCACGTTCGGAAGCTTCTTAATCTTCATTCTGCGAGCGCGAGCAGAGTCAGCGAACCCGCGTCGCACTTGAAGCTGGGAGGTCACGCACCGCCGCTCCGCCTCCTGCAAGCCGCAACACCGGTCGCACGAGAACTTATTCCGCTGACACAGCATCTCTGATGCGCTGAACTGCCGCAAGCATGCCGTGACCGAAGTGTTCTGCTCGATGTCGATGGAGAGGTCGAGGAAGGACTCGTCGCGCGACGTGACCTGCGAGGTCGACTCGTCAGCGGCGCACAGGGTCAGAGAGAGAGAGGCTCGCTCACCGTCTCGCAGGTCAAGCAGCGCGTCTCGTTCGTCAAGGTGCCTTCGAAAAGCGAGTGAACCCAGGTCTTCGCATGCGCCTCGAAGCCGGTGCCGACGATGCCTGCAGGGCGCAACAATGAGCCATCTGACCGATACGCAGCGTTCGAAGAGCAAGACACGCACTCGGTGGCCGACCCTCGTCTTCGGCCCGCTTCCGCTCCTCCTTCTCGAGCACCTCGGCAATCGAGTTGATGAGGAAGTTCAGCAGCTCATGCGCGTCCTGATGCAGCGTACTTCGGAAGAACTCGTTGTCGCGTTTGAGCTGGTTGATGAACGCTTCGGGCGCGACGGACCCGAGCGTCTTTGGCTGAGTCGAGATGGCGCGGAAGAGGTCGTGGAGGGTCGAGAGGAGGGTCGTTTCGGAGGTCGGCGTGCTCTGGGCGATGGTAGGGAGGGTGGAAGGGAATGCTGCTGGAGAGGAGGACGGATCTGAGGGGCTAAGAGGGCCGGCTGCGTCGTTCGTCCCGCTCGAAAGCGAGTTCTTCCGCCGACTCGCGCTGAATAGAGTCCCTCG